TCTAAGCAGCTGAGCCGCGGTGGCACTGCAACTACACAAAGAAATGTTCATTCTAATGGTTCACGGAAATGAAAATGCGTAGTAGAAAGACGTCAAACGTAGCTTCGTTAGCAGTTGTCGTCAGCAACAGAGAGTGGCTGTTGGGGATTTCCGAAAAAGCGCGGCAATTTTCTTTCACCCACAGTTGCTGAACGTCACTTGTGTTCGCCGTTCTTCGTATGAATCCTAGATAGCAGCATTTCAGTGGGGACAGACCGTTAACAGAGGGTCTTTGAAGTTTCAATATATTTTCATTTTCGCTCAGTTTGGGCAGGCAGAAAGAAGTCATTTCGCCCCCCCCCCCCCCTCCCGCACGTTATGGCATAAGCTGAACAATTTTCAGTAGAAGGGCACACTCACGCGACGTTCCTCCAGAATTTGGTCATCAGAACATGAACAGGAAGGGCTAAATAAAGGATAAAGTCTTCGCCGTTGATCAATCCCTTTGTGGGATGCGGCACGCATTCTACTTCCATTCAGAATCGTAGTGGCTTATTGAATGCGCCTATACAATGACTTGCGGTGGCCAGCCGATGTACAAGTCAGTGTTTTATCCTCCCAGACGAATCTGGTACCAATTCACCGTCCCGGAGGGTAGAAGGCTTGGTTGGCCTGGGCGGGAGTCGACCCGGATTTGAACCCAAGACCGCGCGAGTGGTAAGCGCTCCACTTGTCACTACACCACCTACGCCTCACGGACTACTTTATCATAATAGTAATAAATTAGGTCTGTTAGAATGTCAGAGGGGCGATTCAAATGGCTCATCTAAGCGCTTCTTATTTTTGGAGGTTCATGACCTCTATCTCCATAGTCGAGGCTCAGAGTCAATGGCGGTTCATGTACTGGTAACTAATGTACAAACTCGGTTCATTCAACATTCTGGAACTGTTCACTCGGAAACTAGAGAATGTTCCGTGATGGTTTCCAAGGGACGACTAAAACAAAGCTTGAATGCAAACAGTTTCAGTTCCAAGGCTTACAACCCGCTAGTTCTCGAAGCGCCAGAAGCCACAGGTGCTACGCCACTGAGTCCTTTACTTGTGATATCTATCGGATACTTTCTGCAATCTTGTAAAAAGATACGCAGTGACCGAACGCGTGATGGCATTGCATGTGAGTGTGTTAAAAGCAGCACACTATCTGGAAACACTATGAAATTGTCTTGCTCTTAAATGGAAGGTTGGCGATACATCTCAAAAGTATCGACTGCCGCCATATATTCGTTATTAACTTAGCTCTCCTTATTAGACGAGTACAGTAACCTGCAAATTCTTGCAAAGGGAAAACGACGACGGTATCGATCAGAATGATCCCTCTACACGTGATTTCGCGCTTCTGTTCCTACTCTTACTAGGAACATTTTTGCAACCGTGTTTGCGAAAGTCCTAGCAAAAAAAATAAAGGTTGGTTGGAAGCAGACCGCACGCACAGCGTGATGCATATAATCCTGCCAGTGCTAAAATTGACAATTTTTTTAGAAGTCGCATTTGGCTATAATATCAACACAGCTTTTCTATTTCTCTTCGAAGAAGAGTCCATTCTGAAGAAGTGATTGTTATCATTGCCAGAGCGAAGAATATCTCATTTTTTGACTTGAGAAACCTTCTACTCTCAATGAAACTCTGCCTGTCCATTTTTGAGCAGTTCGAGAAGTTTCCCTTAACAGACGGGCTGTTTCCTGTGGCTTGTATGGGTGCGGCAGGAACACCTTTCGCTTGCCTTCTGACATGACTTCGGCTAACGGTGCTGAAACGTAATCTATTTGTGTGAATAGAATCAGTCGTAGACGCTGTTTCTCTGAATATTTTATCTCCTAGAAATGACTGATCGCTTTCAGGATTATGGCCACGGTAGTCATGCGATCAAGCAGTCGTCTCAATACAATTCATCGTGGGATAGCTCAAGAGAGAAGCGGTCCATCCCAATACAGCACACTACTCCTCAGAACGACTTTTCCACACACAGGTTGTTTCTCTTTTTCAGTTCGCTGAAGACACATCTTCTTGAAAAGTAATGAAATTCCCTTATGTTTTGTTCGCCTTTGTTAAATGAGCGTGTATTCGCCCAGCTAGGAGGATGAGTCAGAGGTTTATGGACGTCTGCTCAGCATTACAACAAGGTTTCTCTTAGTATGGGCCATGGCAGATGTGAATAGCGTGCACCCCAAGCAGCAATCAGTTATTGGATTTCCGATTATTGAATGGAACAAATCATAGAAAAGTCGTGAAGTTGTAGGGCTGCAGGAATGCTCACTAGCAATCTTAGGTGGCGCTTTGGGTCATTGAGACTTGCTGCTGAGAAAAATCTGATGCGCTCAAGGTGCGTTGAGGTGCGTAAGACCTGAGGTTGTGTATTAGTCTGCACTATTCAACATTTACTACCCGAAAAAATAAAAAATTTTCTTGGTGAAACTTTGCCCATAATGGTAAACCACTCCTGATCACGAGTGTGGCAGTCGTTTCCGACGCTCTTGCACCGTTCTTGCTGTTCGACCGACCAATCGATCGCTACGCATTGCCTTCTCAACCACAAGCAAGACTGTCTCCAAGTCACGGCTTACTCCACCTGTTTGGCCTCCATGTTCGGCCTCTTGAGTCAATGAGCCGGAGATATCACCGTAACGTGGAACCTTCCGTATAAGCGGGGACAGTGTCGAGAAACACTTTATTGTTGCGTGTATAACAGTGAGAGTAAAGCAAACGACGGTTGAAATACACCGATAACAGTTTATGGAAAATACACTTTAACATGCAGTTAATGAAAAATATGAGTTGTTTTTAGCTGTAATTCATCATACCATCGAATTATTTGTTCCACTCAAGCCTCAAAAGACTAATGGAGTACAGCTTCCACTTCACTTGATCAGATGTAATCGCAAAAAGAATTCAGCTTGGGCTAAGGCTGTGTCGAGTGATAACCAAGCAGATTGGGACGAATACAACAAATTGAGAACTACTTTTGAGAAAAGTTGAGCAAGTTCCATAATCATGTTGAAAGGAAGGTTATCTTTTCCAAGAATAAGAACGCTTTCTATAAGCTACTCAATTCCAGGCTGAGAAAAGTCAAGGTCTAGGGGTTCTTCTCAAGGAGGATGGGATTGCAGTATGCAAGTATCGGGACAAAGCTGAGCTTCTGCCTAATGTCTTTGCGAAATCCCTCGAACGCCAGTCCCTGCCAACGAGGTGGCACTTCAGCTCTCATAGAACGTTCGTTTCTTTCATGACCAGTCACTGAAAAGCCACTTCATTCCTACCCATGTAAGTTCAGACCGGTTAGTGTAACTTCGATATTCGCCAGATTGTTTGAGAAAGTTTGAAAAAGAGACTCATGACACATTTGGAGCAGTATGAAATTATTTCCGAAACCAGCAGGGCTTCCAGAAAGGGAAATCAACTGTAACGGGCATGCTGCAGGCTCTTAATGATTGGACAATGTATCTTGATAATGACATCGGAGTGGACGTGATTTATTTGGACTTCGCGAAGGCGTTTGACAGAGTGTCTCACTGTAAACTCATAACTAAACTCAAATAGTTGGAGTTCATCCCAGAATTGTTAAGTGGATAGAATCCTTTCTTACTGATAGAGTTTATCTTGTGCGCGTTAATGCTGAGTTTTACCGAACCTAGGCCCGTGCTCAGTGGCATGTCACAGGAAGGCTTGTCTCCTTTTTTTCAACGTATTTACGTTTGAACCACCAGCGTCTTCTAACATCTAGAGGAGTGAAGTGTGTTGCTTTCGCTGATGACCTCAAAATATATCACCCGATCTCATCTGACTCGGACAAAGTGCTGTTGCAAGCGGTCATCAATGAGGTTAGCATGTGGGCCAAGCAATGGGGCTTACCTCTATCTAGTGAGAAAACCAAGGTGCTACGCATAGGTAAAGTTGACAGCACGTCCTCGTATTCGATTCAAGGGGTATGTCTGGATGAGGTAAAGAAATTAGAGACCTAGGTTTCCTTATTCGCAGTGACCTAAATTTGATGCACACTGTTCGCAAATTGCATATAAAGTAACTGTTGTTTTAAACACGTAACATAACATGTTCAGGTCACTTCTAACCATAAATTCCCGTGCAGAGCATACAAGGCTTACAATAGACCTCTGTTGGAGTACGGGACCAAGGTTTTCCGAGAAGGCGAAAAAGTATCAACGCTTCAGAAAGGGTGCAAAATAACTTCACCAGAAAGGTTTTCTTGAGAGCGGTGCGGTCTTAGTATGTACAAATACCTACCAGTGAGCACACTTTTTTTGCTGTGGGAGTCAATCACCAAGAGGTAGTTTCAGAAAGCTGATATGACCTAACCTTAATCTCGATATGACTCTAGCTCTCAGAAGGAAAAAAATTGACCTAATCTTCCTTTCCATAATTCTTCATCTACACACTAGTGTTGGACTCTCTTTTTGCTGTTAGAGAGTCAATCACCAGAGGTAGTTCTAGAAAGCTGGTCACTCGTCGAATTACAGTACCTACTGTGAGGGTTCAAAAAATTACGAAAAACGCCGATCCGCGTTTTTTTCGTTTTTTCGTTATAGAGCTGTTCCTGTTCCTGTTGATTTTTTGTATAGATACCCATATATGACTAGAATCAGCTCGCCGGGTATGCTCATATTCTACGACATTGGGTTTTGGCCGGCGCCATTTGGCGCCACTTTGCGACACCTTAGCGCCACAACTTTTCTCAACAACATCTGTATAAACTTGCTTACTGGGGCTATTCAGTGCCCTGTTCACGAAAGTGGCATTCATTTCTAGCCGTGGCGCCATTTGGCGCCATTAGGTGCCGATTTGGCGCCACTAGCGCCACTTTGGCGACACGACCTTTCCCAAAAAAATCTGTATAAACTTGCATAATGGGGTTTCTCGGTGCCCTGATCACGAATGTAACATTCATTCCTAGCCATGGCGCCGTTCGGTGCCATTTGGTGCCAATTTGGCGCCACTACTTTTTTCACCAAAATCTTTATAAACTCGCAGCCTGGTTTGTGGAATGGTCACGTGATCGTCATTTGCAGAGCATACAAAAATCACGTGAGCTCGCGGCGCAGGCGGCTATGCGCTCACCATAGCCGCTTGTTCACGTGATTACTGCATGTCTTTATAGTTCACATTCACGTGATCATTATAACACATACAGTCTGAGCCGACCAAGGCATATCGATCGGACTCTGCATCAGTGTAATTGATGGAGGGAACTTCAAGGAAATCAGGGGTCAAGAGTCGGCCAAAAAATACCGCAGATCGCCAAATCAACTAGAGTGGTCTCACTGCGTGCATACGAATATCTTGTGCGCTTGGCACCTGTCTACCGCCGGCGCCAAAGCAGTTCGCAACAGCAGACTGGTTGCGAACTTGTCCCCGTGATAGTGTGATCCATAGAACCAAATATTACATCCGCTTGGCTCTTGTGCCACAGGCGCCGGCTAATTTCCTGAACTTAGTGTCATAACCGCTTGGTCCTAACTGTTTGGCGCCCGTGCCATCGGTGCTGGCGCCAAACACTAGATCACCAAAATTGTTGAGCACTTGTGTACCGTGCTGCTTGACAACGTCCATTTTTTTCTGCGCCGGCGCTAATGGACTCTACGATCACTCTGCTAAGGCTGGCGATTCGTGATTAAAGCATCGAACCACACCACCCCATGCATGTTTTTATCAATTTTGGCGAAAACCGATAAACCGAGGTAGCGCCAAATTGCCCCCAAATGGCACCGAACGGCGCCATGGCTAGGAATGAATGTTACATTCGTGATCAGGGCACCGAGAAACCCCATTATGCAAGTTTATACAGATTTTTTGGAAAGGTCGTGTCGCCAAAGTGGCGCTAGTGGCGCCAAATTGGCACCTAATGGCGCCAAATGGCGCCACGGCTAGAAATGAATGCCACTTTCGTGAACAGGGCACTGAATAGCCCCAGTAAGCAAGTTTATACAGATGTTGTTGAGAAAAGTTGTGGCGCTAAGGTGTCGCAAAGTGGCGCCAAATGGCGCCGGCCAAAACCCAATGTCGTAGAATATGAGCCCTCGGATACAGCTCGGCGAGCTGATTCTATCATATATGGGTATCTATACAAAAAGCCAACAGGAACAGCTCTATAACGGAAAAACGAAAAAAAACACAGATGGGCGTTTTTTCGTTTTTTCGTTATTCGTAATTCGTAATTTTTGAACATTTAGTGGGTACTGTAAGACTAATATCAGGCACACTTCTTTGCCATTAGGACTGTCCCAGAGTTTAACAGAATAGTCCGCTTAAGGAGTGACCACTAACAAACTAAGCGCTTTTAAGGCTGCTTTAGACAAACATCTTACATCATAATACCTTTGCAAGCATCGTTCATATATCTGTATTCACTATTTTCTTTCGCTTGAAATTCATGGTTTTTTATACCAGTTTTTCATACGCATTAATCTGTAGTAGCGCTGTTTCGTTTTGCTTATTTGGTTTGTGTTGTTTTGTTTTTTTCCTCCCACTGACACCACACAGGATTACCTATGTAATAAACAAATACATTTACAACAAAAGGGTCAGTTCATAGTGTAAGGGGAGAAACCCAAGGAACACAGCAGTCTAGCCAACCAAAGTGATCCCAACGATAAAACCGAGAGATCCTAAGAGGTAATCTCATTCCCTTTCATGCAAGGAGTTCCCGCCCGAAACTGCGCCTTTTGGGCGGTTGGTCACCCGATGAGCTTTCCAGGTGGTTTGACCCCCTCGCTTCCACAGCAGGGAAATAGGAGAAACTTCTGTGAACATGGTAGGTAGGATGGGGAGAGAAGATCGTAATGAGACAGTAACTTCCAGAAACAGGTCGTGCTGACACCGCCCTTTCACCGATACCGAATGGTGACTGAAAAATTTGTTAAGTCTGCCCCCCTTGACTGAACGAACTTTCTTGGTGATATTGTATTTCGTTTAGCGGCTCAAATCGTACTGCTCACCATGGAAGTTACGTTGCAACGAACCCTCAACCACGATTTTACCACAGCCCATCGAGCTACTCCTCTCGACACGAACAATCTTCCTATAGCAAACACGAGACGAACACCGCTCCTCAGGCAAGAAAACCTTTACGTAGATGTGTAACTTCAAGTGTTCACTTTTCATTTTATTCTAGGGGAACGGTTATATCCCATCTTACTCCGTACAAACAAAAACGAACTACGAATCTGGATCACAAGAGAACGACAGTATCCATCGCGGAAGTGGTGCTCGTAGTGGTTATTCCTCAAACGTTCCCACCTATACGACCAACTTCGGCAACGAACGATATTCAACGCAAAATCATGCAACACCAGCTGCTCAGAATTACAGGTACGTTGATTACGTTGAAAGTCAGGTGCTCGCCTTCTTCATCATTACCACAAAGAGAGGAAAGTTATCTTAGTCCCCGTGAACTAACTTCTCGCCAGGAGGGTTTAAACCCGCGAGCTCTTGGCTTTGAAGCGAGACCGTTACCACTAGGCCGCGCTGCCATGATATTGGACAGCTCAGCAGTGCTTACATGCCAACAGTGCATTTTCCGCGAACTTCGACGGCCCAAAACTCAGATCCCCGTAGCACTTTTAATCTGCCTATTCGCCATCTGCATTCGAGACTATCGATTACCTAAGTCTCCATTCAAAGTTCCATGGGAAGTTAAAACCATTGCCTTGTGAGTGTCTTGCAGCCTTTCCCAGCGATTCCACCAAGCGTTGCCCTACCGGTGGTTCCCTTGGCTTTCAGAGAATGAGATCTCTAGCTATGACTCCATTTTGACTATTTAGCTTGCGAGGCTCTCACATGGCGTTTCTCATAGTAGCGGCCTGACACCGTTTTGCCCCTACCCCATGTTGAGGGTTAAGAAATCATGAAAGCATTGCACTACTCCTCATCTCTAGAAGTCCCGTGTCAGTAGTAAGCCCATTTCAGTTACAACAATGGCGTGACCACAGCAGCATATAAGCCAAGCTCTGGTGGTACTCCACTGAACCAGGCTACGTTCATTCAAACATCATCACTTCATTCTCCATCCCTTCAGAGCAGCTACCTATCACCAGGTGAGATTGCAGATTATTAACAACCTACTGAAAAAATGTCGACATGTCTGGAAATGCCTCAAGGAATATAAATTTTTGGAGCCATTGTCAAAGATTTCGATTGAGGTGGAACACGCATCTACTACCATTCGCCTTCCCCTCGAACACGGCGTGAGCTTGCCCCTAACGCGTCTATTCAACACTTACAGGTTCGCATTGGCATTGCTTTTCGAGCTTGGAAACCTAATACATAGACGTTGCTGTTTGCTTTATATTGCTTGTTGTAGCACAGACCATCGGGTAACGTGTACCCTGTGGAAGCAACGGCACAACAGCACTCTCAGCAACCAGAGCGCCCTACAGAGTGAGTTTCCCTTTTTTCTCAAACTTTCCCTTATCGTAATTATCGTCCAAACTCGCCTCCCCTTAAGTCCTTAGATTTTTCATAGCTTAAGCCCGAAGAAGAAGCATTTAGAAGAGCATTATAATACCTTCCTTGCTCACCGTTGGGATGATGTGTTGATATGATGCCACCAAGAGATGTTCTTCAGATAGTGCAGATAAGTTCAGCATGCGAAGGCTCCGAAAAGGCGTTGGAGCATTTCGAAGAGGTAGAACCTGTACTGAGCAATCGGAATAGTGTAAGAACCTAATAAAGCTGTCTGCTGAACGGTAATTTCGTGCAGAAACATGTACTGCCTACCCGCGAAGAATGAGTTCCTTTTCTATCACTCGGTTAGATAATGAATTGCAAACTTAAGTGAAAATCTCATTAGGGACTGAGAAGCTCCAGTGTCTTCGGAACCTTCAAAAGCTCGGGATAGCGTTACATTTAAGGATGTCAGCAAAAGGTGGTATGCGAATGACTCGAAAAAGGTATCTTCTATGAGAGATTTCTTGCGACTACCTACAGGAACAAGTGAACACTGGAACATGAACAAGTAGACAAACTAACTAAGATTGCGAATTTTTTCTTTCATGGAGCGAGAATCGAAACGAGCAGAACAAAAAGCTACTGTTCAGACGATTCTGTGCAGTAAGACAGAGCGCCCCAAAATAATTTGTGGATCTTCTGCAGCGTTATTTCCGGGAGGCAGAGTTCAAGGGTGACCTTAGGGAATTGTGCATGCTTCACTAATAGTAACGGATTTACTCAATCGTTCTACTACAATCAACCCTAGACGTCTCGGGGTAAGAGTCGGCGACTGCCTTACTTTCTTGGGACTGAGAAGCTCCAGTGTCTTCGGAACCTTCAAAAGCTCGGGATAGCGTTACATTTAAGGATGTCAGCAAAAGGTGGTATGCGAATGACTCGAAAAAGGTATCTTCTATGAGAGATTTCTTGCGACTACCTACAGGAACAAGTGAACACTGGAACATGAACAAGTGGACAAACTAACTAAGATTGCGAATTTTTTCTTTCATGGAGCGAGAATCGAAACGAGCAGAACAAAAAGCTACTGTTCAGACGATTCTGTGCAGTAAGACAGAGCGCCCCAAAATAATTTGTGGATCTTCTGCAGCGTTATTTCCGGGAGGCAGAGTTCAAGGGTGACCTTAGGGAATTGTGCATGCTTCACTAATAGTAACGGATTTACTCAATCGTTCTACTACAATCAACCCTAGACGTCTCGGGGTAAGAGTCGGCGACTGCCTTACTTTCTTGGGATTCTCCTGCACAGCCTCCCAGGTTCGGCCTCATGCCGTGTGCTCCTACACTGTTTTTTATGGAAGAGAATACATGCTGACGAAAAGAAGGTATTTTATCAAAGTGATATACATAACACATATAAATACGTGTTTAATAAACAACCAGTAGCCGCTATCTGAAGTGTAAAACTACGTGACAGAAAATATTTCTCGAAAATATACGACGATATGCTAGCAACGGATACCCCACTGCGGTACTTAAATAAATCGCTGGGGTTATGGTACGTCCTAGCGTATGTAAGCCTCCAAACATAGGATCACAGAACTGGCGTAGTGTAGCGAGTTGGTCGTTCCAGCTTTGCAGAGATTCCATTTGTTTTCTGCTTCTATGGTTCCACAGATTCTCTAAATTTTCAAATGAATTCACTTTCGCTTCGAACCTCACGCTGAGTGAAAAAACATAGCGCTTGAACCAACTGCTCAGCTCGTCATCTTCTCGGGATGTACGGTAGCGCGGATTGATTTTGCTCAGCTTACTAGTCGTCACCTCTAGATATAATAGCCCGATTGCAGAACTATTTTTCTCATGTGAAACACAAAACGTCTCCTACGTGGCGTACCTCGGCAGTTTCAAACTTCAGTTTCGTTAGCCTTCATAGGCCTCCATAATTAATCGAAGTCCTTAGCCACACAAGTAATATCCACAGAGTGCAGTAGAGTCTTGTAGGTTTTATGCACATATACACGCACACCACATACACACAAGGTTTTACATAGGCTGGTGAGCAGCACTCAGGACATTGCTATCGTGTTAAGGCTGTCTCTTTGTTGTGCGATTTTCTTCTCGGTGCTGGTGCTAATTCGTAGATTCTTGTCAGAAAACGGATTTTCTCACCTCTCTTTGCAAAGAAATTTTTTTTAATTTGCACTCCCTTCTGGAGAGTTCGGAACGACACGGTCCAGAAGATCATCAAACACCTTTGGATGAGCATGTTCCCAGTTTTGCTGGATTGTGAAACGCTTCGATGTAAACAGGATGGATGAATCGCATGGGGTACTATGAGGCCGTGCTTCATTTGGTTCATCCACCGCGTATATATCATACCGCTTTGGTGCTCAGATGTAGTCCAAAAAGTGAGGAGACTGCTGTCGTGTAAAAGGAAAACTGTACACACACCTACGCGGATCCCGTTCCTTGCCGCGTGTGGGGAGGCCGCTGCTGCAGTAGCATGTCACTTTCCCTTGTCAAGAGCGCACGGGAAAGGGCGAACGCCGAAAGAGCTGCTTGTGTGCGTTCTGTCACTTCTGTTCTTTTCGACAGTGTTTCTAGCGTGTTTTGCTGCATCTGGTATCGACACAGTCTCTGAGGATAGCACAGGAGTACTTCTAGCCCCATTCGTGCACATTTAGCGGAGAAATTGGTACGCTACTGCAGCTGCAGGCTCAATCGTCTTGTATGGCAAAGGGCTGTCCTCGAAGTTTAGAGTTTAACTTATCTTTACCCATATAGCATGTCACCATAGAAAAAGTCATCCCCTAAAACCGTTATAGGTAGAAGTCTTCGTTTAATGTTCTGGAAAGAAACCAAAACTGCCTTTTTCAGACTTTCGACCACTTTTCGTTCTCAGTCACCTGCTTATTTGACATCTGAAGCGAAGAAGGTAGTTCACTATTAAACTCAGAAGAGGGGAAACTTTGTCTCAGTTTTGCGGCATGTCTTATCCTAATAAGGCTGCGTTCATACCGTGCGACGAGTCGTCAACGTCGACGATTTCGACGATTTCGACGACTAGTTCCCGAAGATGTATACGTATCGATCCGACGTAACGGACGAAACCGACGAAAGCGACGATTTCGACGAAAGCGACGAGAGGCGAAAGCGACGACTAGTTCCCGAAGATTGTATACGTATCGATCCGACGTAACGGACGAAACCGACGGAAGCGACGATTTCGACGAAAGCGGCGAAAGCGACGAAAGGGGCTATTAGATACGTATCGATTATCGAAAACGACGAAACTGACGATTTCGGCGACTGTGCCAAGAATTAGCTTTTCGTAGATGGTTTTTCCCCCCACAATTTTTTCACTTTTTTAAATTTATTTCCTTTTCTGTTTGTAAACATTTTCCCTATCTCCTTCCATCCTCTTGAGTGACCTTACAACCTATCTTCTTCATTTTCGAGAGAAATACCATGAAATAAAAAAGTATGAAAATTAGAATGATTACCTGAGGAAATAGGCATCGAGAATCAAAAACTGTAAGATTTTCAAAGAACCTTTCCTTCCAACCTGTATATACTGGGAACCACATCGATTCCACGTAAGCCACGTGGAATCGATGTCATGGTATTTCTCTCGAAGAAGATAGGTTGTAAGGTCACTCAAGAGGATGGAAGGAGATAGGGAAAATGTTTACAAACAGAAAAGGAAATAAATTGAAAAAAAGCGAAAAAAGTTGTGGGCTACGAAAAGCTAATTCTTGGCACAGTCGCCGAAATCGTCAGTTTCGTCGTTTTCGATAATCGATACGTATCTAATGTTCGCGAAGTAGTCGTCGCTTTCGCCACTTTCGCCGCTTTCGCCACTTTCGTCGCTTTCGCCACTTTCGTCGCTTTCGTCACTTTCGTCGAAATCGTCGCTTTCGTCGGTTTCGTTCGTCGAATCGATAGGTATGTAATCTTCGTGAAGTAGTCGTCGCTTTCGTCGCTTTCGCCTCTTTCGTCGCTTTCGTCGAGATCGTCGAAATCGTCGGTTTCGTCCGTTATGTCGGATCGATACGTATACACTCCTCATCATTACGGACTGTCGGGGCGTATCAGCCAGTAGGAGTGCGCACACTGTTTGAAGCCGTTCTCAGCCTTTTCGTTGAAACGCGTATGCGACAAAAAGTGGTAGAAAACGAGTAATACGAAGGATATAATGCTGTTATGTCATTTGCTCGCTTCAACAACTGGTGCAGAAAGACTTTGGCACCGCGGAAAACGCAGCCGCACTGACCCGCCCCGACAGTCCGTAATGATGAGGAGTATACAATCTTCGGGAACTAGTCGTCGGTCCCACCTCTTTCGTCGCTTTTGTCGAAATCGTCGACGTTGACGAGGCCGTCGCACGGTATGAACGCAGCCTAACGCGTTGCACTACATCAAAAAGCATGCTCAAATGACCAATCGACCATCCGATTGGGGGCTCCTTCACAATGACCGAGGAATGTTAGGGAAACTAATGCATCCAGAGTAGTAGATGAAAAGTTAAAAATGGTGGAGAAGGACCTACTCTAAAAACACACCCAATTTGTACGAAGACCGGGACTATTTCATGTGCCCAGAAAATCCGTGTGCCTTCTGAAATGTTTTGTGTCAGGCTGTTTTGCATGTTTTACTTCAAGTCACAATGGGAGGACTTGGGAGCGAAGAACGATGGCCGGCAGCCACTTCATCTCTACTTTGCTCAGGCATAGTTCTGATAACGTCAGAGAAAGTTGTCCGAGGAAGCGGAGCAAATGCTGGCTGATAATGACCGCGCGGGTGAGAAACTTGGTTCTCGGTCAAATTCGAGGAAGGCGAAATTCATGAAAAACGGATTGGTTTCTGATGCCCCATTCACGCTCAACGGAACGACCATCTCTGAATGCTCTAGCTATGTGTACCTGGGTCGGAAATCAATATGATGAACGACTTAGTACTAGAGCTAAGCAGCAGGAGTAGCAGGAGGAAAGG